AGTAGCATGGGGATAATGCCCATTTACATGGGTTATTTTGAAGGATAAAAGAGATACACACCCACTGTGTAAGAAATCTCAAGAAGAGGCATCTGGATTTGATTGGGTGATCAGGAAAAGCTTTATCCCTCTAACCACCCCCAGTCCTTCTTGTTCTTTTATAAAGCATTTTTGAAACTTTGTATGTAATCTACATGTTGCTTTGTGAATCCATTCTTCTTTTACAGCAAATGGAGAGTTCTTTCCTGAATGTTTGCTCCTTTGAAGGCTGGTTGGTAGTGCACAGTGGAGTGAAATGCTACTCAGTCTTGTGTTTTCCCCATGATCGGTTCTGCATTGGACCATATTGATCCAAAGGCTTTTTGTTGGCTGATTTTCAGAAGTAGGTCACCCAGCCTTTCTTTCCAGTTCTTCTTAGTCTGGAAGCTCTGCTGAAGCCTGTTCAGCTCATAATGACATTCACCGAGACATGGGTGGTGCTACACCTGCATTGGTTGGCCTGGAATTGAGCCCCGGTCTCCTGCATAGAAGGGAGGATTCTACCCCTAAACTGCCATTGCTTTCGTGGAGAGGGGTCAAACTAGCTTCTCTTCCTAAGTACCTTCTCTTCCATAATTATTGATGAACTGTATCAACTAAATTCTAAGTAGTGGATCCTAGCATCATTATCTTCCAAATTCTTAAAGCATTCACTCATCATATCTGTGCTACATAAAAGCAAAGCTGAAATTGCCTCTAGAATCAGACATACTTAATGCTATTAAATAATGAGGGAAAAAAATCCCCTTTTTTTGTTGTTCAGGCAAAGATACTTGCTAAGTAAGTGATATTCCTATGCACGTTTAAAAATATCTGCCAGTTTCCTCTAGACACACTAACTGATTAACTGGACAAGTGGAATATGTGAAACTTTTAGATAAAAAGGGAACTGATTGTATAGAGCTGATTTGCAAGATAATAATGGATTGCCAACAAAGTTTATGTTCTGAGAAATAAGTGGTCTGTCAGTGACATGGAAGAAGAGAGGTCTTTATGGAAGTAATACTAATGTTTACAAAAATGTTAATAAATGCCAAGTAATAGTGAAAAGCAGATTCGTGAAATAATGCTATTGCTCCTTGTCCTGTATTGATGTTTGTTCTTTTCTATATATAATATTTAAAACATGGGTCATGATACAGAAAAGTGATTTGACAGCCCATGTGTGGTGACCAGGAGTTTGAAGACATTGGTGTAGCTTTGAGAGTGCAGGAGGTAGTGTCAGATCTCCTGGGTTTGAAGTTCTGCCCCACCATTTACTTACTTTGTTGGTTCGCACTGCGATTTTATTTTATTTTTTAACATTCTATTTTAATTTTTCCCTCCCTTCCCCTCCCACCCCTGGTAACCAACAAAGGAAGTTTCCTTCCATACAGAAATCTTTCCTTGATTCTTTACAATAATGAACTAATATAATATTTGTCCATGTCAGCACAGCAGTCTTAAAAGGTGCGTTCTATTTTTATTCCTACTTAAGGATGAGGAAACTGAGGCACAGAGGTTATTACTTGACCATATTATACAACTAGTAGGTACTGTGGCCAGTATTTCAACCTAGTTATTCTGCCTCAGTCCATGGTCTTCTAAACCACTGTGGTACGATACCCCATGCAGATAAATCGTTTGTATCTCTCTGCTCAGAGCATCAGAGGTCTGCTTTAGGTCTTCTCCACAAGAGGACCCTTGTCCCTGTTGGCATGTTTCAGTGTCAGTACTCTCAGTGGGAACTGTATCCTTTCACTCTCTGATTGGCTATTGTTTCTTAGTACTCTTTCCCTGCCAAGACCAGCTTTTATTTTCTACAGTGTCCTTGTTTTATTTGTCATTATTGCTTACATAGGTGTACTGTTTGGAAATAGGTGATATTTTCATATGTATTTATGATAAAACATCAAACCCTTTTGTTGTCCATTGCTGTAGCATCGACCTCCGATTAGTAACTTTTGTGTTTGTTGGAGTGCTACATGTTAAATGTCACCTGAGAGCTAAAGCTTCTTGAGACCTGGACATAGTTCTCTTATACCTAACAGTGTTCAGCATTTTTATTATACTTTGTGGGTTCAAAGTGAAAATATTCTTTCCCCCTCAGGAATAAATCTTGTTTGTAAAATGAGGAGGAGGAGATTGGCATGTAGGGGCTCACTCAGCCAGAGCACTGAAATGCTTTGAGTCTGTAATAGTTTCAGAATAGGAATATGATTAAATAGTAAAGTTTTTGCCTAAAGGAGTTAGAATTTGGGATAGATTTTCTCTTTCTGTCCCTTTTCTCTCTTTTCCTTGCAAAAAAGAAGAGCAAGTAGAGATTCTGTACTTAGTTGGCTATGGGAGAAAGGATCCCTAGATTCTGTTTTGTGTATATGATGTATGTGAGAGTAAAACTGGGAATTCCTTGTAGAATAGTTTTCTTCTTCTTTTTAATGATAGTATCTTTCAATATTTTTAGGTCCCGAATCAGAGGGTCTTAAATTGTGCTTTCCTTTGGATGAATTTTGAGCTGGTACTGATAGTTTTTATAAGCTTGTTACTAAAACAGTACATCTACGAAAGGTTTTATGAATTCAGTAACATCTTTCAGTGAGCTTTTATTTCATTAACAGTGTGTTTGTACTTCTGAGTATAACTAGAGTGGGTTTGGTGTACATCTGGATTAGTGGCGCTCTTGGTCTGCAAGGACCCTGTGGTCTGTAACTTGGGAGACACTGGTTTAAACCATTTGTTTCAAATGTAAATAAATAATTCCCAGTGTTTACTTTGGGCGGTGGGGGATGACGTTTGGTAGTTTCCAGCATTCCATAAATCTGGGTCAGGATTTTTGTAGGAGCTGGTGAGCTGAGATCCCCTGTTTCCATAGGTCATTGGTCCTGATGAAGTATTTTGTGATTTGAAAGTGTTTTTAAAGCATTGATTTAGGTCTCTAGGTCCTTTCTTGTACTTGGTACTAGGATATGTTGTAAAGTATGGTCAACTATATCTGTATTAGACAAGTGGATCAACTTAATTTAAATCCATGTTGTGGCATTTCTTCAATTTTCTTCTCTGTTATCCTGCATAATATTTCCATCTTGCTGTTTACCTTGTCCTCCTTCTCATTTAATCTCTGGTTTTTATTGTAAAATAGAAGACTGAAACTTCATGGGCTACCAATGTCAATTTTTTGATCCATTCTTTGAAAAAAGAGTACGTGGCTTTGGGAATTTGAACTGTCTAGGTTCCAGTCTCCTACCACTCTTTATCTGGATGACTTTGGCCAGGTAATTTAATCTTTCTGAGCTTCCATTTCTAAGATTGTGATATCATCTGTGTCACAATTGATGTGGGTTTAGATACGAGGATGTATGTCAAGAGCCTAGCACTGTGTCAAGTTTGTAAAGGGTAATACTTCAGCACTGTAATGTCCCGTCGTCCTTCCTGCTTATATTCTTTTCTTGCTTAGACTTTTCTCTGAAAATTCTGGGAAAACCTCCTTTGGGGCTATTATCCTCCCATCCTGCCCATCATTTCAGTTCTGGGTGTTTCTGGCTCCCTCTTATATTTATTCAGGTTTCCCTTAGAAGTTCTGCATAAATGGTCCCAAAATCTGTGTAACATTGACTTGGTAGAGAATTTCTCTGTTACATATATTGCTTTAATCTAAAACAGTAGTTCTTATATGTTGAAGTCATGATCATAGTACTCTTGATTAACACCATTCTTTTTGTAGGACATCATGAAACACTGGCATATTTCATTCTCTTGCACAGTTTAAGAACAAATAGAGTGGGTAAAAATTATTATCTATGTAACATGAAGTTGATTTTCTGGGAAAAACAAGTGTGGTCAGAGATTTCCCATAAGTGTGTCTGTATACATTTGGTTATTTCAGATAAATTGGTGAGAAAAGTTGAAATTGAGAAACCTTTGTTAAGCATTTTTTTTCTCCCTGTAAAATGGGTCAAATTCATTTTGGTAATAGAGTACTTTGGTCTGGCTCTTGTGCATATAGTTGGAAAACTCCAACCTGAAATTTGCTTGCTCCTAAGCAGGCTTTTTTTTTCCTCGGCCCCCATAACTCATCCTTTAGGTCTCCTGGGCTGAAATTGAAATTGTATTATTTCATTTTCTCTTGGGTGAATGCTAATCGTTCATCAACTTGTGCTTTTTCTGTGGTATGTGTTACGTTCTGCTTTCCATTCTGAGCTTTTATTTAAACCAAATCCTATGAATTCTCCTTCTTAAATGTCTTGGAATCTGTTCCCTCTTCTTTCCCTGTCTACCCTGATTTTATAATACAGCATCTCTCTCCTGGTCTGCTGGAGCAGTCTCCTAAGGTGTTTCCCTGCTGTGGGCTTACTCTCTCTCCACTCAGCTTGTTTGCACACTGCTGTGGAGCAATCTTTCTAAAATCACAAATCTCACCATGTCAAACAGTCCTCCCTTTGAAAACCCTTTAGTGGTCCCTGTTGCCCACAGGATTATGTGGACACCGGCATGGTGTACAAGGCTGTGGGTGAAGTCTTCCTCGTTCCTTGCAATTTCCTACCTGAGCCTCATACTTCTGCCCTGTAGAGTGCCTCTTACCTTAGTTGTGCAAGTGTGCCAAATTCATTCACACCTCCATGAGTTTGCGTTGTCCGGAGGACCTTGTCTACCTGATGATTTCGTGCTCAGCTCTCTTGTCATCCTCCTGACCTCTGTCCCAAGCCACGTACAGCATTTCCTCCTCTGGTCTCTGAATATTGTGTAGACACGTACTCCGCCTTCCTTTTGCTGTGCTTTATGTACGCTGTCGGTCCTTTCCATCTTATTGTGAGCTTCTAGGAATCAGAGTCTTTTTTTTTCACTCTCTTTGGCACATGGCAGGTTTGTAATCAATGTGGAATGAATGGGTTGGGTAGAGATGTTAATTTTTTTTCTATTTAGAAGATAACTAATATTTGTCGTTTTATATTTTACGTGTTAATATTTAATATTTTGTCCTAAAGATGGTGGAGCCAGGGCAAGATTTATTGCTTGCTGCTTTGAGTGAGAGTGGCATCAGTCCAAATGACCTCTTTGATATTGATGGTGGTGACACGGGACTTGCAACTCCAGCGCCTACCCCTCCAGTTCAGCAGGTAAGGCTTTGCCACAGCCCTGTGTAAAATAGCCTTTTTCTTGATTTATAATTTCCACGTACAGAAATAGGTATTTATCAAGCCTTAATTTTAAATACTTAAGTGACTCTTTTATGTTGAGTATTAGTCTTCATTCGTGAAGTGGAAAAATACTGGCAATGAAAATTGACATTATTTTCTGCTTTGATATTGTTATATACATATATATACACACACACACATATATATAAGTAAGAGATTGGTTGTTTAGCATTCTGATGGGGGAATAACTGATCTCAATAGCTGACTTTATATTTTATAGGAACATTCTTCTGTGGCTTCACTGTACACATTCTCTGAAAGCCAAAATAAGATTCAGATGTTAGCATAGCGGTTTATGAAGATTATATGCTTGCTTATAAGGATTTTTGCTTTGCTTGCTATCAGTGACTTTACATTGTTGTTGTTGTTGTGTGCTGTTGAGTCGGCCCCGACTCATAGTGACCCCCCTCCTTGGGTTGTCCAGGCAGTATCACTACGGAAATAGATTGCCCAACCTTCCTTCCGCGGAGTGGCTGGTGGGTTTGAACCGCCACCCTTCTGGTTTGAATATAACTCTTGATGTTTTTAATTTTAATAAAATTCATGTAACTCTTTTTCTTAAAACAGAACTCACTGCCATCATTCTTTCTTTCTCTGTGGTTGTTTTCTCTCTAGTCAATGCCACTTGGTGCATTAGAACTGGGTTTGGAGACTGAAACAACACTTCCTGTGAAACAAGAGCCCGAGACGGTACCTACGCCGGCACTGTTAAACGTCAGGGTAAGAATGAGAGAGATGTGCTATCCCTGCTGACATAATCTAGGATTGTATGGGGATGCCTTGTTTTATATTATGCATATCTATCTATCTATATGTGTGTGTATATATGTATATATATATATACGTGTACACATTGAAGGTTTGTTGTAACCTTGCGTCAAGCAAGTCTATGGATGAGATTTTTCTAATGATGTGCACTCCTTTGGTGTCTGTCATATTTTGGTCATTCTCACAATATTTCAAACTTTTTCATAATGTTACTGCATACTTAATAAAGTGCAATATAGTATAAACATAACTTTCATATGTACTGGGAAACAAAAAGTTCGTGGGACTCACTTAATTGTGATACTAGTTTTATTGTGGTGGTTTGGAACTTAACTGACAGTATCTCTGAGGGCTGCCTATGCTAAGAAGATAACCTTGTAAAATGAAATAGTTTTATCTTGTTAGTTCTGCTTTTTGCTTATCTCTTTGGGAATATCCTGTCTTTACCTCCTACTTTGTAAAAGGTTTCTTTCACTCTCCTGATAAGTTAATCAAAAGATAATTAGAACAAAACAAAATGTTTTAAGTTTATTGATTGCAAATAACAGAAAGTTTATGAAAAATAGATTAAAAAAATACAAATTATCTCCCTACAGATTTCATTTTTGTTCATGTGTGTGTGTGTATACAAATATATTTTTTTTCTAATAGTAGAGGAACATACTTTGTATGCTTCAACAATCATTTCAGTAATAGGTTGATTATGATTATATAAGATAAACTGGAAATTTATGACCATTTGCTAGTTTTAAGAGACAACCCTGGAAGCTAATTTATAAATAGTAATTTTTTATATTTATACTTGTTACTAATGCAGATGGAGTTATTTTGGAAATTTTTGAAGTATCAAATATGTAGTTTTATGGAATAAATTAAATCACAGATTAGTTTCTGAATCTGGATTTGAACTACTCATTTTTTAAATTGTGACACCAGAACATTAGCCAATACAAGAACCTCTTATTTATATCAGTGACATTGATTACAGTTTTCATGTTGTGCCAGAATTATTGTCCTTTTCCAAAATACTTTATTTACCCTCATTATCATAAACTCAGTGTTGTCCCAAACAAAAACTCTCCTGGATATTGTGAGAATGACCAAAATATGACAGACACCAAGTGAGTGCACATCATTAGAAAAATCTCATCAATAGACTTGCTTGACACAAGGTTACAACAAACCTTCAATGTGTACACGTATATGTATACATATACATACACATATAGATAGATATGCATAATATAATACAACTTTTGACTTGATGGTACCTGGCAACAATTAAATTTTAGATTTTTAAATGCTCTACCAAGTTTTTTTTTTTTTTTTAAATATAGAGTCCTGTGACCTTACCTTAGCCATAACAATTTACTAGTTTAAACATGGTGATATAAAATTGGTGGACAAACTAGGTAAAGTCTGATAATTTCTTATATATTATTGTTGAGAGTTTTATTTAAATGTGATAAATAATCAAGAAGACTGTTAAAGGAGACTAAGAGTTTGAGGAGAAAAAGAAGCAACAATAGACTTAACTTATAAATATATATGATTTGTGCTTGTAGTTATAAAGACGTTGTTGTCCTTAACCTTGACATGTTTTCTTTCACATTTTTGTCTAGCTTCTCCATGAATAAAAAATAAATACTCTATAGTTTTGTCTACACTCAAAGGTAGCACACACATTATTATGAACTTTGTACTATACCTGGCTGGATCATTCATACAACAGAGGAATTTAAAACTCTGCTTGGTTTTTGTCTTTGAAGTTGTCACAGGCATCACAGGTTGGAAAACAGAGCCTCAGAAAGCCCAGGCATGCTGCAGTTAAGGATTTGCCTTGGTTCTTTAGCTGGGACAGTTCTGGCATTAGAAACTCTCCCTTCCATAGTCTTTCTGTTATATAGGCTTACCACACATCATAGTTTGCATGGGACATTCCCGCTATAGGCTTGCTGTCCTTGATGATTATTAAAATGTCATACCACTGCTATACCTCAAAGTGTGGTGTGTTTTAACTTGTAACTAATTAAATATAGCTAATTGTATTTGACAAAAGATTGAAGTTGTCAAGGATTTCATTTTACTTGGATCCACAATCATTGCCAAGCAGTTAAGAAATCAAATGATGTATTGCATTGGGCAAACCTGTTTAAAAGACCTTGAGCAAAGATGTCACTTTGAAAACTAAGGTGCACTGAACCCAAGCCAGTGAGGAAGATGGAAGAAGAATTTATACCTGTGAATTATGGTGTTGGTGAGGAATGTTGGACGTGCCACGGACTGCCAGGAGAACAAATGAACCTGTCTTGGAAAAGGACAGCTGGAGTGCTCCGTAGAAGCGAAGCCGGGGAGGCTTCATCTCTTGTACTCTGGTCGTGTTATCAGGAGGGACCAGTCCCTGGTCAAGGACATCATGCTTGGTAGAAGGTTGGCAAAAAAAGGAGAAGGCCCTCAACAAGACAGACTGGCACAGTGGTGGCAACAGTGGGGTCAAGCATAGCAGCGATGGTGAGGGTGGGGCAGGATCGACCAGTGTTGGTTCTGTCGTACATAGGGTCGCTGTGAGTCAGGGCTGACTTGATGGTACCTGGCAACAATTAAATTTCAGATTTTTAAATGATGTACCATGTTCATATGGTGCATTAGAGAATAAAGCATTTCTCGGTTGTCTAACGTGTCTTGTTTTGTTTTCTAGCAGCAACCTCCATCTACTACAACATTTGTGCTGAATCAAATAAATCAGCTTCCGACCTTGGGATCTACAATTGTAATGACTAAAACACCACCTGTAACAACTAATAGGCAAACCATCACTTTGACCAAGTTTATCCAGACCACTGCAAATACACGTCCTTCAGTCTCTGCACCAGCAGTACGAAGTGCCATGCCCTCTGCACCTTCGAAAGAGCAAGTTCAGCTGAAGGATCTTCTGAAGAATAATAGTCTGAATGAACTCATGAAACTGAGGCCACCTGCAAATATTGCCCAGCCAGTGGCCACAGCTGCAAGTAAGGCATTAGTCTGCATTCAGTAGCACCTGTCTTGTTCACCTTGCTAACATGTCAGAGTGTGTTTTTAGGGTCAGAGCATAAGGAGCGCTGGTAGCACAGTGCCTAAAGCATCTTACTGCTAACCAGAAGGTTGGTTCCAACCCACCAGTCACTCCACAGAAGGAAGACTGGGCAATCTACTTCCCATAAAGATTTACTGCCTCGGAAACCCAGTGGGGGTGTCTGTGAGTAGGAGTTGACTTGATGGCAGTGGGTTTTCATTTGGGTCTAAGCATGAAAGAGGTGTTAGTCTGCAGTACTCTGTACATTTACTGTTTACACAGTTCAAGGGAAGTAAAAACTTAGAAGATCAGGTAAAGCTATGCTAGCACTACGAAATTTTCTTTTAACTTTTTTTTGGTTTTTGGAATTAGTGCTTCTCCAACTTTATGTGCCTATGAATCATCTGGGGACCTTGTTCTGAAGCAGAGTTCAGTAGGTCTGGGGTGGGGTCTGACAGTCTGCGTTTCTAACAAGCTGCCAGGAGACACTGATGCTCCTTGGACCATACTTTGGGTGTCAGGCTTTTAACTGATACTTTATTTGCCTGTGACTATCTCAATATTGTGATTTTACCTATCACTGATTTCATTGTTTGTGGATAGTCTGCTTTCAGTTATTCTCTTTTATTATAGAATAACTTACTACATTTTCTTTGAAGAGCGAGCATCCATACTGCTTTTTATAACAACTTTACTGAGGTGTAACTCCTGTGCCAGAAAATTCACTCTTGTGAAGTGTACAGTTCAGTGATTGCAGTGTATTCACAGAATCTTGTAATAACCATCACCATGACCTAATCCTTAACGCTTTAGAGAGTTAAGGGAAACACATTCAACAATGACAGGAGCACAACTTTGAAGGAGTTCATTTATGCATAAAGAGTATAGATTTTGTAGTTGTTCTTTTCTGAAGTGGCTTTTTTGATGTTGTTCATTCATTCAGCAAATGTTGATTGAGCCCTTACTATGTATCAAATACTCCTCTAGCTGCTAAGGCTGTGTCTAGGGAGAAAACTGTCGTGGTTCTGCCTCCTGTAACTTCCATCCTAGTGGAGGCGGTTCGTTTTAGTTATTTATTTTTTGACTTTGGCCATTTCAAACTTCCGTAATACACATTTAGTTCTAGAAAGTAAAAAATATGAACTCATTTTTTTCCCTCTTACTTTGTTCTGAGAACTTTGCTAGGCTTATGTCTGTTGTTGTTATGTGCCATCGAGTTCGACCCGACTCATGGTGACCCCTCCTTGGGTTTCTGAGACAGTATTTCTCCAGAAGTAGATTGCCCAACCTTCCTTCTGAGGAGTGGCTGATGGGTTTGAACTGCCAGCCTTCTGATAAGTGGTCAAGTGCCTTAGGCACTACGCTACCAGGGCCTATGTATGTTTTTTTTTTTTAACTTTTAGTGTGGTGAAAACACACACATGTTCACCAACATGACGACTTCCCCATTTACAGCTTAGGGACATTGATGACATTTTTCATGTTGTACCATTACTGTTATCCTTTTCTGAAATATTCTACCACTGTTAGCATAAACAAAAGCTTCCCCTTTTCCCCCTCCCTCCTAACCCTGGTAAACTTTGGTATGTATATGTGTGTGTGTGTGTGTGTGTGTATATATAATATAAATGTGAATTCTTAAGTGAGATACTCCTTCCCTCTAGTCTCCAATTAATTAAAAAGTAAAGAGGTTGCATCCTTATTATATAACAGTAGTAGGCACCATTGGAGGTTCTAACCCAGTCCTCAGTTAGAGCCTAAGCTGCTCATTCTTTTATTTACAGTTTCAGATTAGGGGTGGGCATTTGTTGTGATTGTTTCCTCTGTCTTTGTGGATATGAGGCATATTCCTGAGGATTTGTTAATGCACACACAGCACCCTGCCAGGGTCTTGGGATTGAGGTGATGACTGTTGAGTAGATGGTTTCTCCTTCCACAGTGCTGCTTTTCGGTTTTTTTTTTTTTAAATCCTTTTCCTAATTTGTGAGATACGTTTTAATAACTAGTACAGAACACTATGTAATTTTCCTTCAGAACTGATTGCTTGGCAGTTGTAATGTGCTTGTGTTTATAAAAGAGGGCCAGGAGTATTCCAGAAAAGGATTTGTAGGCTGATGTAGAAGTAACTTTGTCTCCCCTGACAGAAATAGTTAAAATTCCCAGATAATCGCATCTTTGTGTCTGGAGTCTTACCATCCTGCCCTTGATGACTGTAGTTTTACTCTCAAGGTCATTCTCTGGAACTGACTGCAACCTGGCACCTGGATACCAGTTGGGAAATCATTTGCGCCGCCTGAGGACACTTGCCCATTTTTATGATAATGTTTTCTGCTGTGGAGAGCAGACTGTGGCCCTGATGAAGCTGAGGTGCAGGGCAGCACCTGGGATGGGTCCCAGGGGACTTGTGGGTGATGAGCGGTTGGGAGAAGCTGCTTCTCACCAGGGTCTTTGGACTACCTGAGGAGCAAGCCCGCGTACTCATTTGAGTGGCTCCCTCCCTCCTCTGAGTCCTGTGCAGCTCTACTTTATGATGTGGATCCCATGGTGCCACAGAAGTTTGGAAACAGTGCTGCAGGGGGCAGTAGGGGTCACATTTGGATCTTTATTCTGAGGGAAGGGGGAAAATCAGGTGTGCCCAAAGTAATGTTTTTCCTTTGGTCTGGTAACAACTTGTTAAGCCTCAAAAGTTGGTAAGTAGCACCAAATAAGGTCAGAGTGACTATCTTGGTGCTAACACTGGGTTTTGTTTCGTTTTGAAACCCAGAGAAGTGTGTTCAAGGTAATGCTGTGCTTCTGCTCCTGACACTTGTATGGAAATAAGCTGACAGATCGTTCTGGTCAAGGTGGCTTCTGATCCATGGTTTTAAAATTTCTCACACACACGTTTACTTTTGAGTTACTTGAATGTTTTCATCCTTAATGTAAGATGGTGATAGGCAGATCGGTGTTCTTTAGTTTGTGAAGTAGGTAAACTTTGAATTTGAAAAATACTAGAAGGAAAGAAGAAAGACTTTGTTCTAAGACTTAAATTGATTTTATCCTTCCCAGCTGATGTAAGCAATGGTACAGTGAAGAAAGATTCTTCTAATAAAGAAGTAGCAAGAATATGGATAAACGACATGAAAATGAGTTTTTCTCCAACCATGGTGAGTTTCAGAAAGTAGAGTCTATGTTTTTGTGTGGTATGAAAGTATACTGACTAAAAGTACTCTCAAACAACCCTTAGAAAAGTTTTTTTGTGTGGACGAGCTACTCGGCTATATAAATTAGGGGTAAGCATTAAACTTCACTAGAATAGACTAATACATACTAAACAGATGGTAGAATTTGTATGTTCAGTAGTCTGTGGTGGTTATATGCATTGCTGATATTTTTTTATTCTGAGACTCAATGATCTAGAAAATACGAAAACAAACCAAAAATATTTGATAATTGTTCATTTTAGGATAAAGCCTAAAATGTCATGGTCTAGTTATGAATTATAATATGATACACTAAATGATTTTCCGTAAGTTTGGGGAATGATATGTTTATTTGATTGATCAGTGCATTTATTTAAGGACCTCTGTGTAGGGAGTTTCTACAAGAAATACATTACATGATTCCCATCTTAGTGAACATAACATTTAACAACCCCATGAATTAAGTAGTTAATGAGTGAGGTACATCAAAAGTACAGTCAGCTGCTTTGTCAGTGATAGCAAACATTGATCTAGGGATGGATAGATGAGTGGACAGGCTGAATGATTAGGTATATCTGTGCAGGGGGGAGTGTGCCCATGATCATGTATAAGGTTGATGGACAGTGTTTCTTCAAGTGTATTTTTATGTTCTGTAAGAATTTCCAGGTATATAGTAGAGCTGACAAGGGACAAGATTGTAGTCACTTCTAGGCCATAGCCAGCTACCCAGAGGACTTGTGGGCTTGGGACCGTGGTCACAGGGGATATCACGCTCAATTGGCATAACATACTACACAAAAACATTGTTTCACATCCTACTTTGATGAGTAGTGACTAGGATCTTAAAAGCTTGCGAGCGGCCATCTAGATGCAACCATGGGTTTCTCCTTGTCCATACCAGAGAAGAATGAAGAAAACCAAAGGTTCACGGAAATAATTAGTCCAAGTGACTGGTACACCATGCGATCCTCAGCCTACATTACTGTGAGACCAGAAGAACTAGATGGTGCCTGGCTGCCACTGTCGTCCACTTAGAGGGGGATCTATGTAGGAGATCCTGAATAGAGTGGGAGAGCAATGTGGAACAAAACTCAAAATCTTGAAAAACAAAAGACCAGGTTTGCTGGTCTGATCAAACCTGGTGCAACCCCCTGAGACTGTGGTCCCTAGCTGCCTACTCCTGTGGCTTCCAGCCAAACAAAAGACGGGCATATGAGCTGAACACTTATGTCAGGTAGATACACTTCTTGGAGAGATCAGTCATGGGAGAATAGAAGGGCTGTGTATGCACAGGGAGACAGCTCGGGGGGTAGGAGTGCATGGAAGGGAAGGACACAGGGAAGAGGTGGCTGTGGGGAGGAGGTGGGAGGGGAGCTGTTGCATTGTGGGAGATTGCAGTCAATTCATGAGACAAAATGTATGTGAACTGCTTTATGGAAGATGAATTTGCTCTGTAAACTTTCACTCAAATCACAATAAAATTTTTTTTTAAAAAGTACAGTCAACTGCTTATGATAAGAGTTACAAATTGAAGGAAGCTGAGTTCTCTGTGAACCAGAATAGCCTGGTTTTATGGTGGTGTACTGGAGCTTGGGTTTTGCATATGGACAGAATTTGAGATACGGGCAAAGAAGGTGACTGTGCTTAGGATGACAATAGCCAGAATACTTGGCTTGGGGAAAAAAGTTGGAATGATAGATTTTGGCTCCATAGAGGTGTTGGAGTTGAGTATTAGGAACTTTGGACTTGTTGTGGTATCTGTGAAGAGTCCTGGGATCTGTTAGAGATTTGGGATGGGTGGCATGGTGGAAGAGAGACAGGCTTAGAAGTTGGCTAATAAATAGTCCAGAAAGGGAGTGGTAAGGGAACTCTGGTAGCATAGTGCCTAAGGCACTTGACTGCTAACCAGGAGGCTAGCGGTTCAAACTCACTCGCCACTCCTCGGAAGGAAGGTCGGGCAATCTACGTCCGTAGTGATACTGCCTCGGAAACCCAAGGAGGGGTCGCTATGAGTCAGATCCAACTCAACGGCACATGACAACAACAACAACAA